AACCGCTTTCTATTTCAATCACCTTAAAAAGTATTCACTCACTGACACGACACAAAACTAAATGTATGCTTTATCATTCAGGCCCCTAAATCAGTCAGTAGTCCTCATGGATTCCTCATTCAAACTTTTTCTCCGAAATGAGAGTCTAGAAAGTATCCCCTCTCCTCTAATCACATACGGGACATTAGGCGAGAATCCCATCCAAAAATTCCTCTTGTAACCGTCCTGACATTACCAGCAACATTAATATTATTATTACTATTAGTACTATCAACATGCCAATAATGTTCAATAAAATCACAATAAAAACTCTCCTCTAAATTTCACCTCTCTTATATTTTCATAACAGTGCTCAGTTTCAGAGGTCCCCGGTCAGTCCGCCTAAAGACATTTTGCCTAACGATAGTTTGCCTAATATACTGTTTTTTAGTGGATATTTCGCCTAATAGGCAAACTATTCGTTACAATTAGGAAAACTGTCCGTTAGGCAATGTGTCCTTAGGCAAACTGTCGTTAGGCAAAATGTCCTTAGGCAGATTGACTGGTCACGGTTTCTGATCACACACCAAATGAACAAAACAATAAAAATTCCTGCCGACCTCACGCATGAACTCTTTGGATGTGAAAACCAATTCGAAATAAATCAGCCATCTTGGTGTGTCTTCGAAAAGTGACGAATTCGGATGAATGTGAACTGTGTGTTTATGTTTCACCGTCTTATAATAACCGTTAGTGTCCAATTTTGCACAATTATAAAAATAACCGGATGTTACCGCTTTTCTTATCGACATCGAGTCGTTATTTGATTTCTGAAAATATGCGCACCAATCTTTCTCAGTCTGAGTAATATCTTCGTCCATCAATGGGCGAAAAACAGCTTTCAAAGGGATGATTTTGGAGGAGCCGAATAAATTTCTTAAAATTATCGCATTTTCCTTGTTTTGAAATCGATTATTAGACACTACTGCATTTGGACATCAAAGTTACGATGCAGCCAGTAACTTAGCTCCATTAAGCGATTTACCGAAAAGAACTGCGACTTGACGCATGGACATTTAAAGAGGAAGATTCAAAAACTACGTACGCATCATCACATTCAAATGAAACATTCCAATGTCAGTAATACGATACAATAACTGAAGTTGTGAATAAACAACAAAAGAAGCATTCCAAAAACCTGTTCAATCTCAACTCTCTCCAAAAGACCCTCCAATTGATCACGCACATCTCTCGCTCTCTTCATCGTTCGAAACTGCACAAAATTCTCCATACACCTAAAACACCAAACGAATTCTCATTCCACACATCCTACCCCACACTGCCACCTGATATCACCACTATAAGCAAAGAAAATAATCTGCGATTAAGCAGTGATAACAATCATAAGAATAATAACAATTTCAGAAGAATAATAATGGCACAATAACAGATTTACCGTATTTTCCGTACTATAGGGCGCACTATTAATGAATGGTCTATTTTCGAACTTATTACTTATATAAAGCGCACTGGACTGTAAGGCGCATTAAGGGAAACAAAACAGGTGAATAATCTTCGAGGTCAGCAACCAGAATTAATCCATATATAAGGCGCTTTGGATTATAAGGTGCACTGTCGTTTTTTGAGAAAATTAAAGGTTTTTAAGTGCGTCTTATAGTCCGGAACATACGATACTATCATTACTATTATGGTTTTATCATCAAAGTAGCATGAAAGCAACCAATATTAATCGGACTATCATCAAATCAAACATCTTCAGATGTCAATCATGTCTACAAATCACTTCTCAACGCATAAAAACGAACCACTGCGTCGAGTAATTCGTATCTCTCCATCGATTATACACATTCAATAACGTCAAGTGATCGCCTCCAGGAATCCAGAATCCTTTCCTGGCTGCATCCGCGTGAATCACCATTGCTTTGGGTCGATAGAAAACAGCTGCATTGCAAGATAACATCGCCGCGATTGTGATTATCTCCTCTGAACAACCATATCTGCAAATTTATTTCTTTAAATTATTCATATTCACATTAATCTCTAAAATGACTGATCAACTCATATCACCGTGAACGATACTGGAACCAAAATTTACATACAATATTCAAATTCTAATGAAATATTCAAACAACACTCCAATACAAAAATTACCGAGCGACAAAAAATGCTCCCAACGGGAGAATTTCCATATATGAGCGGAGGGCAACATCAGACTAAACAAAACTATTCAAAAAGGACTACAAAAACACGGAAACGACACACAATTTGTATGGCTAAAGCCCTCGCAATGGGCCTGATGACCCCACAACATACGCCTCAGATAGTCCTTATCGAACGTAGTTACCGTCAAGAATGTCGCTGCTTCAAACCAATTCAAATATTCAGTTAGATAGTCTACAATTAGGTAAGCCATAAACGATAAATTCCATCAAACCAAACGAACTTCTCCGACGCAATAATCATCTTGCTCATGCACGGATCACACGGAAATTCGGCCATACGCCTGCCGAGTTTGGTAAGTTGTCCGTGGTGATTCAACGCACCCAATGCGTACAACTGCTCTAACGCTATCACCAACGTCTCTTGAGGCGGTGGATCAAGGAAATCGAAATGTATCAGATCATGAATACCCAAACTTTTCAACATCAACACCACATTACCGAGATTTGTTCGTTGAATCTCAAAGAAAACGAACCATTATGATTAATATTGTTATTATTATTATATGATTATTATTATGAGTGTTAATAACATTTTCATTCCTACTCAATCATTTCTTTACTCGAATTATACAAATAAAATAAAAATGAAAAAATGCATTCGCTGATTCAATGTTGCTATGGAAAATTGAATAATTTCGGCAACGTTCATTAAGTTAGCTGATCACATGAAAAAGAGCAAAATGTTATAAACCTCAGGAATCGGTTGATCTTCCAATTCGTGCTTATACGCCCACGCTGTATACAACCTAAAACATTTACCGGGTCCCGTTCGACCCGCTCGTCCTGCACGTTGATTTGCTGCCGCCTGAAAACGTTCATACGAATGGACTAAATGAAGTTTCAAATACAGAAGCCATCCGGACACTCAATACCACATTCATATCACAATAAAATGCACTGAACTCAGATGAATCAAAACCTCATACGGACTACTTCCTGAAATTCCATTCCAACTTCCGTGCAATGTTGCATGAAATTTTCACTCATTCACCAAATTATACTAAATACCCCCTATGACTTATCTTTCTACAATCAACGAATCAAAACCCAAATGCCTCTATCCCATTGGCCAAATTTCATGACAGAATCAATCAGCCAAGGGTGATTCATAAAGACTGTCACTGTAAGCGATTTCTGTTTCGTTTATTAAAAAACAGCACCGAGCACAGACAACTAAACAACTAAAATACTAATAATAAGTAAGCAAATAAAAGTATCAAACCTTCGATATGGTGACCACGTGAAGATGTTCCACCCCACTGCGAGCATCGAACGAGTTCTGCTTACCGAATCCCGGATCAATCACATAGCTAATTCCATCGATCGTCACTGACGTCTCGGCAATATTCGTCGCGAGAACCACCTTAATTTTCTTCTTGTTAAAATTATTTTATCGACACAACACAAAATTTTATCAGTTTCGCGTTTAAACGTTTCTGTGATTCCACTCATAATCACATTAACTTTATCAAATGATATGATTACAAATCAAAAAGTATTTTTGCTAATAAACTTGAAGAAATTCCCTCTTCGGTAGAACAATTACCAATAAATTCATCGGTCACAGACTCTAGTAATATCGAATGAAGTAAAACAAACAAAAAACCAACTAAGTGCATTATCTAAGAAATCGAAAAATTAATTTCACACCAACTTTTCGTGCGTTCGGTGGTGTTGGCTCGAAGATTTTCGATTGTAAATCTGAAGGGAGATTCGCATAAATCGGAAGAATCAACAACTCTTTGATTTTATTTCCCAGATTTTTGGTTCGCTCAATTAATGACTCCTGAAATTTTTTATACTATTTCAACTTCACAAAACAATAAATCGAATAATTTAGCAATTATTCCACTGAAACTGAGAATTCAACTAAACGAATTCAACTCATCCACTTAAAGTGAAGATACAAACCATTAACATTTCAATTTCTTCGTCCCCATTAAAAAACGAAGATATCCGATGATCCATCTTTCTACAAGCAATGAATCAAAACATAAACACTCATTCTTTACTGGTCACAGTTTCATGAATGGATGACCACTCAAGGCTCATCAACGCTAACTTCACAGATTAACATTGTAAGTGATTTCTGTTTCGTCGAAAAAAGCATCAGGCACAGGTTCAGTGAGAAATACGTTTCAATGCACAAACCATCAACGTCTCAATCTCCTCTTGCCCAGTCAAAAACACGAGAACATCGCCGGGAAGTGGCTGAGTTAAGTGGATTTGTAATATTGAAACCATCGCTGCGTCCAGATAATCCGCCTCGGGAGCTTTCGTATAATAGATATC